TGGTGATTAGGCATTCCAAGTGTGCAAGGCAGCCTCGGCACACATAAAGAGAAAGGGAAGCTGGAGACCTGAGGAGGCAAGCCAGGCCAGATGGTCCTGCAGCCGGCAGCACTGGAGCAGCTCACACCCAGCTCTCCGCACGTTAACGGCCCAAGCCTTTCTTTATGCCAACATCACAATTAAACAGAGCAAAATGGCAAGGAGGTTCAGCAACAGTTTGCTGAGAGGACGGGTGACCATAAGGCAGGAGGAAAGGGCTCCGACAACCCGAAAAAATGTAGTTTCCATTTCCTTACTAAAATATGGCCCATCAGAATGGCTCTTTTCTTGAGACATTGAAGTAGTTTTCTACATCTAAAACTCACCACAGATATGCATTTACCCATTCCATTAGAGATGCAGCCATTTCCATAGGATGCCTTTGTACTATGTTTTAAAAACAGACCTGATATTAGATCATGTCTAATACCTTTTCACAAGATGGCTTTACTTTTCTTCTTTTAAGAACCCTAAAGTACAGCATCAATTATTTAAAAAAAGAGATCCAGCACATAACTGTAAAACAAGCAAACAATGTATATATTTTGAATGTTGGATAATTGGAATACACCCCCACCTTACTTTAGACCCTAGTGTGTAAACACCTGGTCAGCCTTTGCTCTACTGAGATAGCCAGAGCTAAGATGAAGCTTGAATCAGTTGTCTAATATGCTAAGAGAGAAAAAAAACCAGGAATTAATACATTATTAATTGTTGCTACTTGGAACTTAAACTCAACAGCATTTTGACTTTTCTTAAATATTTCCATTGGTTAGTTTCAAAGTTCTTGAAGTGATTTCCAAAACCAGTCCAAATACTGAGGCCCGGCCCAACAAAAAAAAGTTCACTCTCTTCTGTGATATAAAACTGTAAGAAAAACTGAAGTAAGAATAAGAAAATAGACTCTCTCCACCACGCATAGCTGTCTTAAACTGACCATGTTTAAAAACATTTCATTATGGGGCATTAAAAAGCAAACCACTGCTGATAAATTGTAAGAAGCAAAATTGCAAAAATATCTAACATATAAATTAGAGTCTGTTTCATCAACAATAAACCAAACTTGAATACATGCAATAAAGGGGAGGAAACAGTTCAAATAAGCACAATATGCAAACTCAAAATAAAGGCCAAGGCCTTATAGTGCCAGTTCATTGGGGATGGGAAGCAAGAGGTTGGGGAAGATTCATGTATAAAGTAACAAATTTTGAAGTTCCCACGAATAGAAAGGAGAACTGCAGTGCTTTTGCCAGTAGAACATTTTGGTGTACATGACCCAGCTGCTGTTAAGGACTCCGCTTTTCTTTCCTGAAAGGACATATTCTGATTATTAGTCTATGAGACCACAAGTAGGAATTAGAGGATAAAAACACTATTTTTAAAAGTTAGAAATCTGTAACACAGGGACACTCTGTTTAAATCTATTGTAGCTGGATGTTAGGGTCAAATCATTATTTGAAGAATCCAATAGAATGTAGCTGCAGATGCCTCTGCATTACACATGGAGTGTAAACCATCTTCCCCCATGTGATTAATGCTCTCAGTGAACATATAAACATAGATACCTGGATAAAATATTTATCTTCATAAATAAATTATTTATTCTTCAGGGCTTTTGTGCACAACTCCTGTGGGTTCTTTTCTGGACCACAGGGGTTCAAAGGGAAGAACATTTACCATGAACTGATGCACTGAAATATTCCAAGAAGCAGATTGTAAAATTAAGCTTTACATATATATATATTCACACTGCACTTCCAATTTTGTCACTAATTTTGGGTAAACGTTTGTATATATAAAATATAAAATCTGTAAATATAAAATGCACAACAGCTGTGGTTCAATTCAATATATTATGTCATTTTTTAAAGATCAAAACATACCCAGAAGGCAGGACTCAAGGCAATGTTGACCAATCTAAATCTTAAATAACTTCTCACGTGGGTAGGGAATCAATCTAGATTTACACGACTAATTAACAGAGATAAGACTCTTGTCTCCAGAGAATGTAGACATACAGAATTGTTCTTAGTATCTTACTAATAAAATGAGATGCCTGCACCTATACTTGTACAGTGATACACTTTGCCCTTCATTAGATTCCATTAGCATTGCACTTTAGATGGCATTCCTTTTTTAAAAAAAAAAACAAAACCCTCCCCCAGTTTCCACAAGCTAAGCTTGCTGTTTTGTATTATTTTTCGTTAAAAATAAATGAAGCAGCAAGTGAAAATCCCAAGTCTGAAATTATAAGAAACAAACAAAGAAAGAAAGAATAGAGTCTACTGGTGCCAGACAAGGAATGTTATATGTTGTGATTGAAGTTATTTGCACATCGTGCAGTCTGATCCCATTTCAGTATATGGAAGACTGCAAATAAACAGAGCCAAAATATTTTGTAGAGTGCCTCTTGGAGACATAAAGGTTTGCTAATGCAATGGTTTTTACTAGGTCCATCAATACAATTTTGCAAATCAGTTTGTCTATATAATCATTTCTCTAAAATGTATTGTAGAATGTTCATAGAGAGGTTTATATATGTTATACGTATAAAAAATTGAAACACATTTGAAAGGGCTAGGAATTTATAAAAGCCGATATGCCACATTTTCATACATGTGAATATGTGTGCATTCCTCTGGTTCCATTCAGAACAGTGGAATCATCAGAAAACTATCTCCATCTTCAGCCTCATTCTAGAAACTACTAACAAATAATCTTTCACACATGGGGTATGTACAGTTTTCTTGTTCCAGATTCTGAAATACCCAAGAATATATGTTCTATGAAAAAAGACCTAAACATGCCAAGGATATTTGAAGGTCATAATTACATATAACCAGGTTTGTTTGCTCCTCAGATAGAGATACTTACATATTTATACAGATAAATAATAAAATGCTTTTAAAACTCATGACTGTTAAAATAAAAGTTTTAACTAAAGTCAATATTCACCCCCAAAATTTAACCTAGTCAGTACTAAGTGTAAAACCTATTTTATATTTTACCTGGGCATGTTGGTATGAAGCCACTTTTGGTGTGCTTTCAATGAAATTGAAACCAATTTTGATTTACTTTTCATAGCCAAGAAAGGAAATGTCAAGAATGAATAGACTGGAGGCTGTTAAGATACAAAAACCTATCTGTATTTTTTTATTATTTTCGTTTGTAAAAGTCTATATATCTCCTTCATCCTTTAAATATGTTTTATGTGGTTCCCCCAAACATTATCTGAGAATTCATGAAAATATTTGTATAGAAAAACCTATTTCTACTGAACTGTGCCCACATTTAAACACATGTTTACCTCTGAGTCAATCACTTTCTAAACACTGTTCTGTGAGTTCATAAAATATTTGTTCATTTATACCATTATCTAACAGGAGCAGGTTAGTAAGATGAAGCAATTAATGCACTCTAAATGTATATAATTGAGCCAGCATTTTGAACATGACTTCCAATATACATAATCTGCATTAATTTCATATTTGTAAATTGTTATATTTACATTAGTAATGTATACTGTTTTAAATTATAAAACATCTTTACTCAGGGCAATTCTATCTTTTCTTACCTTTTCAAACTTTATTATTATTTTCCCCACCTTTTCATACACACACACACACACACACACACACACACACACACACACAATTGTTGCACTCAACCATCAAAGACCACGACATTTAGGTGGTTCTCACTCAGCTAAGCCACACTACAGAAAAAGCACACAAGCCTTTAGGGCAACATGTAGTTTCGTCTTTGAGGAAGCATTCCACACAAACACTGACATAAAAGACAAACTCAAAGCATATTTCAGAACCAACGAGCGATGGATTTATAAGGCAGGTTGATTTTATGGTGACTTTTATTGACAAGGTGCGGAGGCTTTTGGCAGATGCCTCGTAGCACTGAGAAGTTAACACAGTGCCTAATTCAAGTAGACAGCCTGAGGAAGCAGTACCGACAGGGAGAGAGTGGAACTATGTCTCTATTACTCTCCTTGGTATCATAAAGAAAAAGAAGAAAAATGATATCCAACGGGGAACCAGGGAGTGCTCCAATTTTTTTTCAAAAAAAAAAAAATCCTTATTTTTCTCTCCATCTACCACCTCTTAAAAAAATGGAAGAAGGAACAAAGCAGTATGAGAAACTACAAAAGGATCTAATGGGAAGCAAGGTAGAGCAAACTAGTTTAATATCTAAAGTATAGAATTGGGGAAAAACCAGACTGACCTCAATGCTGCCTTATCATCAATATATTAGATAAATACTTCTTGATCTACTTTCCTCTAATGAGGTAACTCACGGCATTTAATAAGAAAGAGATTACTTGGAGAGAGGAACGCTCCAGTAGATCTTAGGTGGATTGGGTTCAGCTTAGCTTAGTCTGTGAAATATTTTCACTTCTGGAATTCCACTTTTGCACTTATAGAGGGTATTACAGAAAATTCTTGTACATTAGTGCAAGATGTACAGCTTGTGTAACACATTACAAGATGTCTCCCTTTCTCTGTTTTAATGCCAGAAGTTAGATTACCTTACTAGGAGTCAGATCTAATTAAAAGAAACATGTTTTACATTGATATCAGGTAAAAGAACTGTATTTTGTTACAACTGGCATCAAATACATAAGGACAGAGGTGGAAGACAAGTTTACAAAGACACTATCCTCAAAAACTGAATCTCCTGAAATAAATGTAGAGTCAGACACTTCCAACAGAGACTTTCCCTCTTTCTGGAAGGTTGGCAGTTTTTCTGCTAGATGGAACCCCAATCTAGCAGAAAAGAAAAAAAATATTTTGTCTAGATATTCTACAATCTGTCTTCTCCTGCAATCCACTAATATTTAAAGAAAAATAGGGCCATATATAGTTTGGCCTCTTTAGAACCCTCAAGCATTCAGAAGCGTTACCTGTTGAGCATTTAACAGCCCAATTAAAAAAAGCTAAGGTACTTACATCTATCGTTTCGGTCCTCAGGACTGGATGAAGTCTCACGGTCTGAAATGAGGCCAGAGACAGCAAAAATCTTTTTTCCAGTGTCATCAAGTTTGAGGGAGCCAGGGGAGCCAGATGGGAGCTGGGCTCCAAATTCATACTCCTTGCCATCAGCATCTGAGAAGCGAAGATGGGGAGAGTCGGTATCATGACAGTTCTTCAGGCGCTTAGCAGGTGTAAAAGCCGACTGATAACTTTCCCGGTCCTCAGTGGAGGCAAAGGGACGGAAGGCCCCAACACCACTGTGGTTAAGCATGCTGATTGGAGTACAGTCCAGATTAGGGGGTGCAAACTGAGGATGGAGATGCAGCAACGAAGGTGGAAAATCACGGTTGGTGAATGCTCCAGGCACCCCACTTTGTCGGTGATACATAGAGGCAAAAGTATAGGAGCCATTGGTGAACGGGATGTGCACATCCTTGTCCACTGACACAGGGACCCCAAAGGGCCTTGGCTGTTGGCAGGGGATGGAAGCATCACGGCTGGCTTCAGCAGTGGAAGCCAGGACCATCAGGGCTGGAGATGCCAAAGGATTGGGAAGGTAGGAGGAGTTTTCCATCTTAAAAGCTGCTCGGTGTAAGTCCATTGGAGTCTCTTTTCTTGACAGGGCCACGAGGGAAATGGTGTTCCCTGGATGGAAAACAAAGCAATGTCTGGATATAGAGCTGAGAGATCTCACCAAATTCTTATCACCATCCCAAAACTGAAAAGACAAAGAAGGGGAAAAGAGGAAAAACACAGAAAGTTGAAATAACAGCTGGCTGTTCTTCATATAGCAAGAAAATTGTAAAAGCCTAAGCCAACTTTCCACGTATTGTTCTTTTAGAAAGCCAACAAGAAAGTTCACATGTTACTGGAAGAGTCTCTGACTCCCTCTAAGGGTCTGTACAAGTCTTCCTCCTGCTCTCTTTTACAGCTTTAGCATTAATCTTAAGATTCAAGAGATGGTCCACCCTAGGTAGATAAAATGTGGCACAAGAGACCTGAAAGCCAAGAGAATCTGTGCCTTATGCGGAGAATGCCACCTGCTCTGGCCTTACTATCCTTCCCTTCTACCCTACAGAAGGATAAGAAACCACTGCAGATTCAGATCAAGCCACATGGTTAAGTGGGGGTTGAATGATTTGAACAAGTGTGCAGTAACTAACTGTAGTGAAAATTAAACTTATATTATTTCATTCCTGCCAAACAAAAATATTGGAACAGAAAAAAAATCCTTGAAGTATGTAAGCCTATAACTACAACATCTTAACATTAATATGAATAAAATAAATGAATACTTATTCAAAAATTATAAATGAAAATGTATTTACTTCATGAATATACAAAAATATGAAATAGATGTAATAGAGGAATATATTCAAATTGTGCAGATATATATCATGTTTTGGATTTTCCATTATCCTTAGTGATGAAGGGGGAATAAATAATATGTATGAATCATACATTTAAGCTATTCTTCTATTTTTTTTAAAAGAAAACAATAATGACATCAATAAGTCCTTGGCGTCCCTGATAATATTTGAAATTGTAATTAGTGGCTGTGCCATCTGATCTCTTCCAAGCATCTGCCTTTTAGTTTGTGGACAGTACAAAATGGATCAGTAGTTTTACTTCCTAATGTGCTCATGCTTAACTAGATTTGTAAACTGTTCTCAATATTCCATTAAGATTTTGAGAATATGTATGTATGTATGTATGTATGTATGTATGTATTCTTTTATAACTACTTGCCGAGTACAAGAAAATAAATCCCATGTTCTCTCTCTCTCTGAGTATGTATATGTGTATATATACTTTCTCTATGTGCATATGTATTAACAAACTTTGCTTCTAATCCTATCTAGGCTTGAAAACTCATTCCCCTATTATAATAACATTAGCATTCCTTTTGTTTCTTTTTAAATTTCTGCCCCAGCCATTAAGTATGCTAGAATTCACTTCACTTTAATATACAAAGGCTTACTTTAAAACAATATACTAGCCTTACAGCACTCAAAAAACAAAAAAAAATCATATAATAAAAAAGCAGTACAAAATGTGTCTGTTTGTTCCAGAAGGTCAGGCCTAGCAAATAAAACTTACTAAAAGGATCCCGTTTCTAATGGAGTGGCTTTTGTATTATCTGAATGGCAAGCCTAGGTTAACAAACTCTATGGAATGCTTGCTACATCCTTCATGCAGTTCAGAAATAACATTTCCTTTTTCTTCTATCCTGTACCCAGAAGTTTGACAGTATAGCAGTGGGAAGATGAACTGACATCCTCCTATCTCTACTGCATTGGCTTCCTTTCCTGTTCAAATCAGTGCTAAAAGATTAGAAGTATCTAATTAACAATTTTTGATCCACTTTCACATCTTTAATAACTTTCATCTGAGTTTTAGCTGTGGATGTAGACATGGCAAGGGTAATCTAATCAGAACTATTTTGAGTGATCTTCTTTCTGAACAATGAAATGATTTAAGATAACAAATAATCAAATGTAAAATCAAAAGCTACAATAGCGGAGAAAGGTTATGGGAAATCTGGATATTCTTTGATTAATTTTAAAGCAAAAAATTATATATAATTTACCTAGGGAAAGAAACATTATTTAAACTGGCATCTGGAAACCACAATCTGCAAGAGAATGAAAGAGGGAGAAAAATATATCACTAATGACACTATCCCTGTTTATATTAAATGTATTTAATGGAAGCCACACTTAACACTCCTAACAGAATAGTATGAATCGTTAAGCTATCTTCTTCATTTGACAATAAATTAACATATTTTAATAATGGTTCAGACTGAATTTTATTTTAAAAAACTCCTGCATACTTTTCATTTTCATTTTCCCCTTGTCTATTACGTACCTTCTGTCATCACTTCATCCCATGCTATTATTCCCAATCACCGCCATAAACAGAAGCATGTATGGATGAAGCTGCGGCAAGACTAGTCATTATGAAAATCATCTATAGTTAATGCACTCCCAATGTCAAAATGTCATTGGTTTTTAAAAATGGAATCCAAAATAAGAAAACTAACTGGCCTGCTTAATTTAAAAAAAAAATAGATTGCAGGATAATCAGCCTGAAAAAATATTTTGGTGACCAGAAGTGAGTGGGTACAGCCAAAGTAAGTAACTGTTACTTTTTGCCTCTATGCTGATTTTTTTTAATTTAGCACCCTGTGCAAATCCAGATTAAAATAACTCCAGCTATTGATCCGAGCAGTGGAATTGACATTAATTTTAGTTCACTTCTCACTTTGCAAAGGGATCAATAGGAAGTAATAACAGCTGACATCCTCGCTGAAAGGAAGAGAAAAGACAGTCTAGCGACAGAAATCGAAAAGCAACCAAATAAATCAGCAGATACTTTTCCATGGCATCAGACAAACTCCAAACAGATTGCAAAAAGTCTTTGTTAAATTAACTAAACAAGGAGTGGAGGTGGCCAAGGGGGTGGAGATAAATCTATGAAGCTACATATAACTGTCCATGGGTTATCTGCTTTAGACGAACTCTCCAAAGTCTATATTCTGATTGCCTACCTTTACAAAATTTCCATCTTAGTTTATGGATAAAAATATTTCAACATAAGGGCACTCACCATCTGCATCTTTTCAAAGTACAAACTGAATCAATGTGAAAACAGCAACACTATCATAAACATCTAAACCTAGAATGAAATCTAGTATGTCAGGTGCAACTTGCAATTTTTTAAAATGTATTAATCATTTAATTAGCTAAGAAATTTTCAAAAGGAAGCAGAACTATTCATAACGCATCCTTCTAATCACATTATCAGTTTACTGTATATTAATGGGTAAAAAGAGAGGTAGTCTTAAACTACAGGTGGTAGCCTAAAAATATATTTAGAGAAGAGAAACAACCAGAGTTTTTTGTAACAAATTGTTTTTTAAATTCTCAATTAAAAGAGATATTCTATGTTGATGATATTGGTTAGATTTTTATAATTTTCAGCTATTTTTAAATGTTCAGAATTAAAATGACACAATACAATTCTATGATTTTTTTCTGATTATTACCAACAGAAGAAGAAAAAAGTAAAATTAACTTTATTTTTTATAAAAAACACAAGCCTCAAAAAGATGTTGGAGGGAACCTTTAGATATTACAAGTATCTAAGTGCTTCTTAATCACATAATTTTAGAAACAGGAATTTGAAATTGCATTTCTGCTTAAAAAATCCTAATCTTTACAAAGCAACCATTCCAGCTGTTGGGGGAATTAAAGAGCTCATATGTGTTATGCATTGAACTAAACTGGATTTCCTCTTAATAAATTCCCAACAAATACAGGATCTGACAGTACAAAGAAAAAAAAATTCCAGTCTTAAATTAAGGAATTCTACAGGTTGGCATATCTTGCCATTAAATATTTGGGAGACTGCGAGTTCTAAAGGTACAAAAAGAATGTAAACAATTAGTTAAAAAGGGGGGGGGCTGGAGAAGACAGGGTAGAATAAGAATAATCTCTGTGGTTTGAAACTCAGGCCACCACTTTCAAAGTATGAATAACTATTTTAAAAAATGTAATAGAAAATCGGGTCCCCAGATGTAACAGAGAAGCAGCTGCTTTGATTCTCTCCAATTTTGCAGGGGGGGGGGAGAGGCTCTTTTCCTGCAGAAAACTTGTTATTTCAGGAAAAAGAAAAAAGAAAACCTTGAGAGAAAATTAAGGTGCCAGGCTTTGCAGAGGAAAAAGCAATGTAAATATACATAGATTTTTATTCCCAAGGCTGTATAATACATCCATTGTTTGCCAACTTTACAAAAATCCTTTCCAAAAATCAAAGTTCACAAAAAAGATATGAATGAAAAAAGCAATGATTCGCTGCTCTGACCTGTCAACAATTGGGATCTTTCTCCAGCCCCGCTCCAGAGTAGATACAGAAAATTCTTAAGTTTTTTCAGAACTTAATTTGGAGGGAGGGGAAAAACTACTCAAAACTGCTTTCTTGATCAAGAAAAAAAAACACCAAACATAATCGATTTGGCGTTTTACCTAACTACCTTCCCAAATCCCTAATTATCAACAGAAACAAAAAAAAACAAAACAAAACCCGTGATTCAAATTTCAGCAGGGGAAAAGATTCCTACTTTTATCTTACTTTTCCCAGTACAAATGAAAACAGGTGTCCTTTCCGGGTTCTTCGCCCGAGTACAAAAGAATGCAACTGGTTTATATACTTTTAAACAAGAGAATTAAAAAGGAAGCTCCCGACCGTCCCATTTCACTAACTACAACAAAAAAGGAAAAGAGAAGTGTCCCAGAAGTATAGCTGGGAGATACAGGAAATCAAAAGTAATTCCTCTCAATAAATTCACCACGCCTTGCCCGGTCGTTGGTTTTTGGTTTTTCTTTTTAATAACCAGAAATCTCAACTGGTTTTGCGCCTGTAAACTTCAGCGCAAAACCAATTCAGCGCATTGCAAAGAAAACGAAATTTTCGTCCCTTCCAGGAAACAAGTGCGGGGGAGGTTGTCTCCCTCTGTCCCGATTTCTATATTCGGTTCAAGGTTTATTTTCTTTTTAAAAATACCAAAGCTCATCCAACGTGCGGACGACTCGAGTTGTTTGAATTTATTGCAACAATCCCTCCTCTG